AAAAAAGAAAGACGATATGTGAGCCAAGATGGTGTGGGGACTCCCTGCTATCGTGTACCCTTCCGAACCCTCAGAGGGCATTCACCCCGAGGAAGAAGATGGGAAGAAACTCTCCATATTTTACACGATCTTCTTAACTTGCCTTTAAGTACAGCTTCTAAGTAGTTGGTTTCCTTTTGTTGCATTCCCAGGTTGTCACTTCCTTGTGGCTATTCTACTGCGCCTCTCCACCATTCCCACAAGCAAGCTATCCAAGCTCCTCTTTCTGCAGTTTTCCCAGGTCTTTCCAAAACTCTTATTACATTACTATACTGATTTCAATGAGAATTCAGAAAAAGACAATCTGCCTAAAGAAAATCATGGAGATAATAAATGACAAATGGAGAACTCAATAAATGATCAGAGAGGACCAAGGACACTCGAGAAAAATGTCTGAATTCAGATTCCAGTTCTGCCACTTGCTACCTGTGTGACTTTGGTCATGTTACTTGAAATACCCCTGAACCTCAGTTTTCTCATCTGTAAGATAGGGATAATAATTATAATTCCTTCTGTAAAGGGTTGATGTGAGGTGCTTTGAACTCTTAGTAACCATTTACACTATTTAACTATTACAAAGCTGAGGTCTATCTATAGCCTGTGAAAAAATGTTTTTGAAGACGGACTTTCAATATTGCTTAAAACATGTAACACCAGGTGAATGGCTCTGAACCTTTCTGTCCATGATAGTTTTGATTTATAATAGTGGGAATCTTACATCTTCCTTCTTGATGCACTCATGGGGACTAAGAAGTCAGAGTTTTATGTTACTGAGAATCACAAAACAATTCACTCCTAAATCATTCCATTACTCAAATAGTAGGGGGCAAAAGAAATAATATTTACTGAATGCTATCTATGTTCCAATCCATATACATTGTCTCATTTAAGGCTCATAACATCCCTGTAAATTAGACATATCATTTTCAACTTAGGAGGAAACCGAGACTTAACAAGATTTAAATCACTTGCCCCAAATCATAGAGCAGAACAAGTGTTGCCCAAAGCCAAACCTCTTGCCAACTACACCATGATGCTACCCTCAGAAGGGTCAGACCTTGACCTGTTTCTTGCAGGCTATTGGCTCTTGTATTATCTAAAATTATTTTCTATTTATTTGAAAGATGCTCCTATTTCTTTTACTTTACCAAATTGAGTTCTCAATTTTAGAATGCTGCTCAGGACATTGAGAGAAGGGTATATTATAAAGCAGGCAGGAGATCTTGAATTGCATATGCTTGAACTATAAAGCCTAAGAACCAATGGAAAAATAGATGTTTGAACTTTCTGCTTTTCCATTTGTGTCTACAGAGTAAGTTGAAGAAGCTCAAAAATAAGTTCAAGAAACCCCATAGAGTGATTAAAATGAGTAAGATTGCGAAGATAGAATAGAATTCAACTCATGGCCGGTTAATTCTTAGTTATGGCTTCGAACCTTTGCTTTAACAGTCATCCATCCACCTACACATCAATTCAACCAACCACCTATCTAGTCATCCAATATATTTAGTGAATAGAGACCTACTATGTGCTAGGTACTGTTCTAGGTGCTGAGATACAGCAGTGCTTAAAGTGCATAAAGAGGGTTAAGATTGTAATAATCTAATAAAGGAATGAATAAAACAAACTGATTTCAGAGATGATAGGTGCTGTGAATAAAATATAATGTGAAGATGGGTTTATGGAGGAGAGGCTATTTGAGGTATGGTGGTCAAGGAAAATCTCTCTAAAAAGTTGGCCTTTGAGTTCAGACCTGAATGAGAAACAGAAAAGCAGAAAAAAGAACTCCCAGGCATGGAAAGTTCGAACAGTTCAAAGGTACCAAGATCAGGAAGAAGGCAGCATGGCTGGATTTCGAATGGTGGCAGGGACAAGGTCAGGAAGGTGGGTAGGGCCTTGCACCGTTGGGAGGAGTCTGGCTGGAGGAGTCTGAATTATAAATCAGGAATAATGGAATTATATCACAGGTCCTAAGCAGGAGGTAACAAGATTTGAGTTAGCTTTTAAAACCTCAGTGGGGAAGCTTGGTGGAGAAATTACTTATAAAGAGGCAAAAGTAGACACAGGGGTACTAGTTAGGGTAAGATTGCAGAGGCCGAGGTGAAAAAAGCCTCTAAAGACTCATAAGAAATCTCCTTAATGGTTAAGGAGACTTCATTGGTGAAAGGAAGCTGAATTTATTTTAATAATGTCTCTGTTTACATGCAGCATATCTGCTACAAAATAAATTGTTTTATTGTTATTTTTTTAGAGGCAGAGATGATGGTGTGGTTGTGGATTAGCAATTACATATATTCCATTGTATGTTAAGAAGCATTTTACCTTTGCTGTAAGGAACCACTATGCAGGGCTTTTGATCCTCCCTCAAGGAGAGAAATAGTATCTAGGAAATTAATTCTTCCCTCAGGCCGAGATGCAAAATTGCAGAAACCGTTTGCTAAATATGGCCTGCCATTCTTAAGAGGGCAGAGAGTCCTTTCTCGAGCATACTTTGTTAGAGACCATGTATCAATTTCTACCGGTAATTATGTATAATTGAAAGAAAATCTGCGACTATGGCGATTTTTTGGCGTTTTATTTGGGCTCACGCAAAAACTAGTTTTGAAGGTGGTATCTGTAGAGTGGCCCCGCCTGCAAACTTCCTTGCTTAGGGGCGGTGGTGGAGCGCTGGGGGTCGCTGGGACCTCAGCCACCGGGTGTTTCTGCTCATAAATCAACATCGCAGGGAAAACACCCTGGAAGTGCTGTGATGGCGCTGAATGCATAAAAAGGGTTCGCAAGCCAAATCTATTGTCATTCCTGGTGGCATAGGCGAGTGACAAGACACTCACACGTCGCTGGGTGGTAGCGCGGCACATTAAAGCGTGGTTTGCACCATGTGTGTCACACATTTCTCGGTTTTCTCGAAGGGTTTTCTAAGTTCCGCCATCTCTCCCCTTTGCAGTCATCCTGGCCCCAGCTGTGCCTCGGCCTTTGACTCCATCTGTCTTTCCGCTGAGGACGAGTCTCTCTCGCCAAATGAAGAACACAAGTTTGGCTCCCCAAAGTGACTATAACCCCCACCTTCTCCGCTCAGCCCGAGCCAAGCATCAGGCCTGTCGCAGGGACGGGTCAAGAGGACGGAAGGGGAGGGTGTGGAGAGGATGCTCCCGTCGCCTGCCCACACCCACCGCGACTTGGCAC